TACCTCAAGAAGATAGAAAAATCCCAAACAAACAATGTAACCCAACACCTTAAAACACTAGAAAAAGAACAACAAACAGAGCCCAAAGTAAGTACAAGGAAGGAAATAATAAAGATCACAGCAGAAATAAGTGACACGGGGACTACAAAAACAATACAAAATTGGTCAGTGAACCAAGAACTGGTTCTCTGAAAATATAAACAAGACTGATGAACCTTTAACCAGACGCATCAAGAAAAAGAGAGAAGCCCTGGCTGGTGTGGCTCAGTGGACTGCACGCCGGCCTGTGAACCAAAGGGACTCTGGTCTGATTCCAAGTCAGGGCACAGGCCTGGGTTGCGGGCCAGGTCTCCAGTAGGGGGTACCTGAGAGGCAACCACACAGATGTTTCTCTCCCTCCTTCCCTCTCTAAAAATAAATAAATAAAATCTTTTTAAAAAAACACTAACATAAATGCTCATACCTAGTAATTTCATTTAAAATAGAAAGAAAGAGAGAAAGAAAGAAAGAAAGAAAGAAAGAAAGAAAGAAAGAAAGAAAGGAAGGAAGGAAGGAAGGAAGGAAGGAAGGAAGGAAGGAAGGAAGGAAGGAAGGCAGAAAGAAAGAAAGAAAGAAAGAAAGAAAGAAAGAAAGAAAGAAAGAAAGAAAGAAAGAAAGAAAGAAAGAGGGCCCAAATAAGTATAACCAAAATGAAAGAGAAGAAGTAACAACTGACACAAAAGCGATACAAAGGATTGTAGGAAAATACTATGAAAACTATATGCCAACATTTGGACAACCTGGGTGAGATACACAAATTCCTAGAAACATACAATCTTCCAAAAGTGATTCAGGAAGAATCACAACACCTGAATAGACCTATTACAACTAATAAAACTAAAGCAGGAATCAAAAAACTCCCAGAAACTGGATGGCTTCACAGGTGAATTTTACCAATCATTCAAAGAACTAACACCTATCCTCAAATTATTGCAAGAAATTCAAGAGGAGGGAAGACTTCTCAGCTCTTTTTATGATGCTAGCATTATCTTAATTCCAAAATGAGGTAGAGACACTACAAATAAAGAAAATTATAGAAAATCAATATCCTTGATGAACATAGAAGCTAAAATCCTCAACAAAATATTGGCAAACCGGATCCTGCGATACATTAAAAAGATCATACAACATCATTAAATGGGATTTATTTCAGGAATACAAAGTTGGTACAATAATCACCAATCAATAAACATAATACACCACATAAACAAAATGAAGGATAAAAATCACATGCTCATATTAACAGATGCAGAAAAAGCATCTGATAAAATCCAGCACCCATTTATAATAAAAACTCTCAGTAAAGTGGGAATAGAGGAATCATACCTCAAAATAATAAAGTCCATATATGAAATCTACAGCCAGTATCATACTCAATGTCCACTTTCACCACTCTTATTCACCATAGTACTGGAAGTCCTTGCTATAGCAATTAGACAAGAAGAAGAAATAAAAGACATCCAAATTGGAAAGGAGGAAGTAAAACTGCCATTATTTGCAGATGACATGATATTTACATAAAAAACTCTAAAGGCGCCACCAAAAAACTACTAGATTTAATAAACGAATTCAGCAAAGCAGCAGAACACAAAATTAATATTCAGAAATTTGTGTTATTTTTATAGCCAATAATAAACTATGAGAAAGAGAAATTAAGAAAACAATCACATTTACTACTGCAATGAAAAAAATAATAAGGTACCTAAAAATAAATTTAACTAAGACCTGTACTTGGAAAAGTACAGGACATGTAAGAAACTGAGGAAGATACAAATAAGTAGAAGCATATACCATGTTCATGGATTGGAAGAATTAACATCATTAAAATGTTCATACTACCCAAAGCAATCTATAGATTCAACGCAATTCCCATGAAACTACCAATGGTATATTGCACAGATCTGGAACAAATATTTCAAAAATTTATATGGAACCAAAAATAACTGCAAATAACCTCAGCAACCTTGATAAACAAGAACAAAGTTGGAGGTATCACAATACCTGATATTAAACTGTGCTACAAGTTTGCCATCAAAACAGCTTGGTACTGGCATAGGAAAAGGCATACAGATCATGTGAGCAGAACAAAGAACCCAGAAATAAACCCACACATTTATGGTCAATTAATATTAACAAAGGAGGCAAGAGCATACCATGAAGTAAAGACAGTCTCTTCAATAAATGGTGCTCAGAAAATTGGACAGGTACATGCAAAAAAAAAAAAAAAAAAATGAAACTAGCCACCAACTCACACCATATATCAGAATAAATTCAAAATGGATACAAGACTGAAATGTAAGTCATAAAACCATAAAAATCCTAGAAGAAAACACAGGCAGTAAAATCTCAGACATCTCTTGTGGCAGTATTTTTGCTGATATATCTCCTAGGGCAAGGGAAACAAAGGAAAAAATAACAAATGGGACTACATCAAACTAAAAAGCCTTTGCACAGCAAAAGAAACCACCATCAAAATGAAAAAGGAACCCACTGTATGGGAGAACATATTTGCCAATGATACATCAGATAAGGGGTTAATTTTCCAAAATACAAGTAGACAAAGAATTACACAACTCAACACCAGGAAGACAGACAATCCAATTAAAACGTGGGAAAAGGACCTGAATAGACATTTCTCCAAAGAGGACATACAGATGGCTAAAAGACATATGAAAAAATGCTCAACATCACTAATCACCAGAGAGATGCAAATTGAAACCACAATGAGGTATCAACTCACACCTGCGAGAATGGCCATCATCAATAAATCAACAAACAAATGTTGGTGAGGACGTGGAGAAAAGGGAACCCCAGTGCACTGTCGGTGGAAATGTAGACTGGTGCAGCCTTTTTGGAAAAAGTATGAGTTTCCTCAAAAAATTAAAAATGTAACTGCCTTTTAACCCAGTCATCCTACTTCTGGAATCCTTAACCCTAATTTGAAAGAATATACACGTGTGCACCCCTAAATTCATTAAAGTGTTATTTACAACAGCCAAGCTCCTGAGACAGCCCAAGTGCCCATCAATAAATGAGTGGATAAAAACACTGTGGTACATTTACACAATGGAATAGTATACAGCTATAAAAAAGAAGGAAATCTTACTTTTTGTGACAATATGGATGGACCTGGAAATTATGATGCTAAGTAAAATAGGCCAGTCAGAGAAAAACAAATACCATATGATCTCGCTTATATGTGGAATCTAATGAAGAAAATAAACTGATGAACAAAATAGAAACAGAAGCATGGATACAGGGAACAGACTGACAGCTGTCAGAGGGGAGAGGGCAGGGGAAAATGGATGAAAACAGGTGAAGGTGTTAGCCATAAAACATAGCTACATTACACACAGACAGACGACAGTGTGGGCAGGGTCGGGGCGGCTAGGTGGAGGTGGGCAAAGGCAGGGCGAAATGAGGTCAGAAATATACTCTGCTTGGGGAGATGGGCGCAGGATGCAGTATGCAAAGAATGTTTTGCTGAGGACTACACTTGAAACCTGTATGGTTCTGCAAACCAATGTCGCCCCAATAAATCAAGTAAAAAATGTTTTATTTAAATCTATGTATAATCCTAGCTGAGGAAATTAAATTTCTAAGCACAAGTAGCCATTTACAAACACAGGACTGTTGTATTTCTTTTTAAAGTAATTTTTACATGTTTATTTACAACAACAGCTAACACTGTGCACCAGAAACTTGTCCAAGTGCTTTGAACGCCTACTCAGTTAGCTGTCACCAAACCCTAGAGCAACATTCAGTGTAGAAACTCTGGGGTGAATTACGGAATCGGTGTGCAATTTCTCTGCATCTTTGTATCACATGTACCAGTTCCACCAGATGTACCAATTCCAACAATTCCAAAGGTCACCTCTAGAAGAAACCCAAAAGTAGTACTAACTGAGGTAAAGTAATGGGGAGAATCCCCCAAACAATGAGAGAATTAATAAGGAATAAATATGTGGCAGTTCCCTCTTCGCAGAATTGTAATTTTCAGGGAAATAGCTGCTTCATAATACATAGATGAGGAATGCATCCAACTCACAGGCAACTTAATGTATGAAAATAGCGTGCACCACCTCATACTCGCCCAGCTGCCAGTGAGCGCCGTTCGCTGCACGGCTGTCCTTGCGACGCCCCCCCCAATCTGCCTTCCGGAACTGTGCGCACTTCCTCCCGATGCTGGCAGCACTGGCTTTTGGAGGTCAGCCTGCAACTGTCCGCCTTCTTCCAGAATTGTCTCCACTAGGAAAGCACGTTGCCCAAGGGCACACCCCCTTCCTAGGGCGCTCAGAACCCACTGACAGATCATCACGGGAGCGTAAATAGACAGCCCCTCGTCTCAACTCAGAAGGACTGAAGGCCACCCTGGCCGCAGAGCCCCTTCGATCACATCCCATCACAGCCCGACTTCTGCCTCTGCTCGTCCCATTAGTAGTGATCCCAAGAGCAGCCCTAATAAACTCTCCGTACACTAAATGTCCTGCATGTGAACCTCCATCTGAGTTCGCTTCCCAGATCCAATACTTTCAGACAGAAACTTGGCAACATATATCAAGAACCTTAAAACAGTCATATTTGTGAGAAGCAACAGGGCAGAAAGGGCATAAGCTCTGCAGCAGATATACACCGCCGCACTCTGCTGTATGAGAGCGTTGAGACCTGACTTTAGTTTAGGATTATGGTCATTCAAGATTCTTTTATTGTTTAAAGTTTACTCAGAAGATATTTTAAGGTTGAATTAATATGAAATAGCAATACTAAATAATTAAAGTGCATAATTAAATAAAACCATAGATACCACAGGATATTGTCACCAAATAAACCTGTATAGTGTAGTTATCTAGAAATTGGTTGTTAGTTTCAAGATGGTTGTAGTATAGCAGTCTTGAAAAGTCTGCACAGAAAAACCCCAAAATAAATAAATACACACACGCACACACAAAATCATACATCACCTGCCACAGGAGGGACAGGGCCATAGAAAAGAACCGTGGCACGTTCTCCATTGACTTCAACTCTTTGACCAACGACATCTGATGTCAAAGTGTCATTCATGATAACGGAGCCAGAATCCACAATATGGAATCTAGAAAGAAAAGTACAACATTGAACTTAACTAAAATTCTTTTTAAAAATTGTTGTAAACTTCATGTAGATATTCGTGAGATCAGTGCTTCTGACCAATGTGGGCAGGCAACTGAGAATTCTACCTACCATACGCTGGTAATTTGATTTTACTTTACTGTCCAATTGTATTTTGCTAATCTAACGTATTTTTTAAACCTTGTTTGACTTCAGTTGGTCCACATCACATGACTCATCTATTCCGTCACTTGCTGGAGGGGGTGGGGAGGGAAGAGAAGTGGAGGGGATGGAGAAAAGGGAAAGGAAACGGGCGACGCGAACACCCCCTCGCCCCAGGAACGGAGAAAAAGACAACCCCGCAGACACGGGAAGCAACACATACGATGAACGATAAATAAAAGATTAAACCAAAAAACCTCCACAGAATCCTAAAAATAAAGAGAAGGCCTTAAAGGGAGCCTGAGAGAACAGTACCCCCGTCTAGGAGTGGTAACTAGGCCCAAGTCCCACTTCAGAGGAAAGCAGTAGACTGAGTCGGCTGAAACCCAGACGATGGGAAACCACAGGACAGAGAACTAAGTTTTGGGGTTTTTTTTTTTTAAAAAAAAGGACTTTATTTATTTATTTTCAGAGAGAGGGGAAAGAGAGGGAGAAAAACGTCAGTGTGTGGTTCCCTCTCATGTGCCCTCTACTGGGGATCTGGCCTGCAACCCAGGCGTGTGTCCTGACTGGGAATCAAACCGGCGACCCTTTGGTTCGCAGGGCGGTGCTCAATCCACTGAGCCCCACCAGCCAGGGCAGGAGTCAGTTTTTTCACCAAATGAAACGCAGGAGAAAAAGAAACAGAGTGAGATCAAAGAAAGTAAAAGAAACCTGAGAGACAAGTTAACAAACTGTAATGTACAAACATTATTTGGGTTTTTTTTTAATTTTCATTTATTGATTTTCAGAGCGAGAGGGAAACATCAGTTTGTTTTTCCACTTATTGATGCATTCATTGGTTGATTTCTTGTATGTGCTCTGACCGGGAATGGAACCCACAACCTTGGCATATGGGTATGATGATCTAACCAACTGAGCTACCTGGCCAGGGCTGGATTCTAATTTTTTTAAACTGTAAATGACTTTTTGAAAGAGAATTTATGGCCCTGGCCGGTGTGGCTTAATGGGCTAAAGCATCATCTGGTAACAAAAGGGTGGGGGGTTTGATCCCTGGCCCGGGCACATACAATCCTGGGTCTAGGTGCATACGGGGGGCAACCAATCGATGTATTCCTCTCACATCATCAGTATTTCTCTCTCTCCCCCTTCCTCTCTCTAAAAAGCAGTGAAAAAATGTCCTTGGGTGAGGATTAAAAAAGAAAGAGAGAGAAATTATGAGAAAATAGAACATTTGAACACAACTAGATATTTGATGATGTTAAAGAATAACTGCTTCCAGTAAAGCTAATAAAAATCAATTTATTCTTTTTAAAAGGGAAAGAATAATTGTTAAATTTTTAGCTGTGAAAACAGTATAATGGTTATGATTTTTAAAGGCCTTTATCTTTTAAATACACATTAAAATAGTCACAGTTTTAGAACTGTATTTCAGATACATCATGTCACTGGCATTGTAGGCAAGGCACTGAAAGGAAGTAAGAAACAGCGGCCCGTCAGGGAAATATTGCTAGAATTCAGCCAAGGCATTGGCCTCCATCCATTCATTTGACACACTAAGCACCAACTACCAAGCTGAACCTCCCACCACTGCGGCCACACGTATGAGGTCTGTCCAGAAAGTATCCAGCCATGTACTATGAAAAAGAGAGACATTTATTGGAGAAAATACAAGATACAAGAAACACTGTACATAGGACAATGATGGCCCTGTCCCCTTCAAAGTAGGCACCTTGGGACCTCACACAGTTCTCCCAGTCGCCATCAGCTGCCCATCATATTTTCCTGAGTCTCACTGATGGTCCAAAATCTCTTCTCTTTCAAAAGTGATTTTAGTTTTGGGAAAAGCCAGAAGTTGCAGGGCGCCAAATCGGGGCTGCAGGGGGGCTGAGTCACCTGGGTGATCTGATGTTTCACCAAAAGACTCTGCACAAGACGCGGTTTTTCTCTAGTTGCCTGCACTGGGCCCTCCCCTAATCACCTGAACGTGAGCGGCTGCCACTATTCCTTGGTTAGGTTCATCTGGGTGCCAATCAAGCCTTGGTTAAGATAAGTGCCTTTTACTTACATACACTTGCTCACTAACAAATGAAGATAGCCCATTTAATTTTGGGGTGACTCTATTTGTCAGATAATAGCTCTTCAAAAGGAAATGAAGTGTACCTCTCATTTTCACTCTCTGATTTTAGTCTGCCCTCTGCAGCCATAGATAATCAAACCATTCCAGGTCCCAAAGGATATTTCCATATTTAAAGGCCACCCTCTCTCTCCTCTTCCTACGCCACCTCCCAGAAATCTTTACCCGGGTATACATGTGAATCCCAAGCTCCACCCCCAACAATCAATTTATGGATTCTTTTCTTAAAATACAATAACTAAAACTGAAAATCATACTCCAAATGTGACTTGACCTGTATGTGCATTCAATGGTCCATACGTCACTTTTAATAACATTGCCTAATATTACATTCACTTTTCCCTCTTTTCATGGGAAAGGCTGTTACTTACTCTGAAGACTGCAATGAAATACAAATTCCATAACCATTTTTGAGTTATTGTCACCTTCTGATCATAAAATTAAATTGTTTAAATTTCAGCCCTGGCTGGGCAGCTCAGTTGGTTAGGGCACCCTCCCCATACACCAAGGCTGCAGGTGCCATCCCCAGTCAGGGCACATACAAGAATCAACCAACGAATGCACAAGTAAGTGGAACAACAGGTTTCTGTTTCGCTCACTCTATCTCTGCCCCTTCCTCTCTAAAATCAATTTAAAAATTTTTAAAGTATTAAAAAAATGGTTACATTTCACTATAATATTATTACCCATGAAAGAGTTTTCAATAGTTTTAAATGCCTTCCAATTTTCATTAACAGGCAAATAGAATTTTATTGTGCTATATATATATGTGTATATATATAATTTCTGTTCTTCTTTTATTACTATTCTATAAACATTTACCTATACAGCCACAGAATCATCATTTTAATCACTTTAGTGTTGACATGTAGATACCACAATTCAGTCAATCATTTCTCTATTGTTATGTATTCTTTGTTTACTAGCTAAAAGAAAATAGCTAAAAACAGCTTTCATTTTAAAATTATTACTGTCCTCTGTCATGTCTCCTTGGAAAAATTCTTGAGATAATTATTCAAATAAAATAAGTATGTTTAAGATTCTAGAAAGCCATGGCCAAATTGCCCATCCAAAAAAAGAGTTAATGATTGACACTAACACCAAGAGAAAACCTACTGTTCACTTGTTTGTACAAAGTGTTACGAATTCCCATTAAGAGCTTTCAAATCGGTCTTCTCTACCCTGCATTTGTATGACTAACTTTTGAGGTAGAACTTAATACATTGTAATATTAGGTATAAATGTAGGACTTCATATTTGTATATGTTAAACATCCAATAACCCAATATATCAACCGTCCCCCTCTCAGTTTTGTCCTGTGCAATTTTTGTTAAGAATGAACACAAAAAGAATACACAAGGCACTGACCAAAGACAGAAGCCCATAAAAACTAGGTAAAACTTTTGTTACAGGCCCTCCTATTATCCAGCTCACATTCAAGAATATCATGAGCTCTGCAAAATCTTTTCACTGAAATCAAAATACAGTCAGCCAGCCCTGGCCAGTGTGACTCAGTTAGCTGAAGTGTCATCTGTAACTGAAACGTTGCAGGTTTGATTCCCAATGTGGGCACATACTTAAGATGTGGCTTTAATCCTCAGTCCAGGTGGGTACGGGGTAGGGGGCGCAACCAATGTTTCTCTCTTTCCCTTCCTCTCTCACAAAGCAATGAAAAAAGGGTCCTTGGGTGAGGGTTTAAAAAAAAAAATAGTCAGGGACTGTGCTCTGCCAGTCAGACAGAGGAGGTGGGGTAAGAGAAGGGAGACTCGCTTTTCAACTTTCACACCTCAAAGATGTATGAATTGGTAACAGTGATAGTTATTTTTTTCTAATAATAATAATGAGGAAGAGGAAAAGGAGAATGATGATGAAGAGGGAGGAAATAATGCATTGTTCTCTATGAATTTCCCTGGCTCAGCAAGGAATCACAGTCCAAACAAAACATGAGATAAATTTAGCAAGACTGACTCAACTCTTCCCAGCCCCTGACATTACTATTTCCTAAATGTTCACAAACATCTTTCTCAGAAATTATAAATCTCTTGTTAATTGCTCTTCAAAGACTGTGAGCAATCATATTGCTCAGTTCTTTCATAAATTACTGGGTGTAATTTCTCTGGGAATGGAGACTATTTCAAAACGGCCACATAGTATCCTACCTCTTTTTGTCTTCAGCGTTCTTTTACTAGATTTCTTTTTTTTTTTTTTGACAAGTCAGGAACTGTTCTCCATTAAAAAGACAAAAGATAAGAAATTGAAACAATCTGCCATTTTTCTGTCATCTGTTATACAACATCAAATATATTTTAAAAATATTAATCAAATGTGAAAACTATTAACATTTATGAAATAAAGGCCATGGGTATATAGCTGTTCATTATACTTTTCTCTCCATTTTTCTAGGCTTCAAAATGTTCAGGATTAAAGATAAAAAATATATATTATTACACCCAAGGAGTAGACTTCCATGTCTACTTTTTTAGCCTAATCAATGCTAAAAGCTTCTTTTCTTGTCTTCACATTTTCTTCACGATTTTCAGGCTCAGCCTCACTGACAGTGTTCCTAAAGGGTCCGTCCAAGTGTCTTATGTCACTGGTAAGAGACTACCTCTCCCCTCCAGTAATCCCCTTTGTATTTTTCTGCGCAAATCTTTCTCACTTAACTTTTTGAATAGACGATACAAGTATGAGGAGGACACACTGAAGTTCCCCTTCCACTCCTTGGTGTATCGTGCTGACGCTCTATCTACCTGAGCTACCTGGCCAGGGCCCCTTCCGCTCCTGACAGTCATTACCTCCTCCCACTGGCGGCACCTTTATTATGGTATTTATCGAAGTATCTCATAAATACTTCCATACATATTTTATGCTTATACACGCAAATATATTCCTTTTCTGTCTTTATAAAACTGGTAGCATACTATATATGTGTTCTATTCCTTACATTTTCATTCAATAACACATCTAAGAGATTTATCCACAGTCATATCATGAGCTTTCAAATTTTTTATGGCTTCCTAAGACAGGGCGGGGCAAAAGTAACTTTTCAATTGTTCGTATGGAAAATAATGCAATAATTAATAAATAACAATATAAAAATAAACTGTGTCATGTACTGAGAACTGTAAACCTATTTTTGTCCCACCCTGTCTTTGTGTAGGCCAACCATAATTTTCTTTCCCCGTTCCTCAAAATGACAGACAAGTTGCTCCAAGTTTTTGCTACTGCAAACAACAGTGGAAAGATTAAGCCTGTGCATTTGTTATCTTACACATGAGCAAAAATATGTATAGGACATTCTCAAAATGGGCATTGCTGAGTTAAAGGGGCTGTGCATTTTTGAGAGCTAAAGACAAATGTTCCTTCTTAGTGGCTATACCAATTTATAGTCCCATCAGCAGTACATATGCTTCTATATTATCACAACGTTGCCCTTCACAGGATATTGAGAAACTTTTGGTTACTTGTCAATCTGATAAGTGAAATATGTATTTTATTTGCATTTCCTTCTATTAGGGAAGCTGAGTGTCTATTCACTTTGATTTCCTTTCCTGTGCACTACCTGTTCACATCATTTGCTCATTCTCCTATTGGTTTATTGATTTTCTTAATGTTTTTTAAAATGTATTTTATTGATTTTGCTATTACAGTTGTCCCAATTTTTCCCCCTTTGCCACCTTCCACCTGTTACCCCCATTCCCTCCAGTAATCCCTCCCTTAGTTCATGTCCATGGGTCATGGGTATAAGTTTTTTGGCTCTCTATTTCCTATACTGTTCTTAACATCCCCCTATTTGTACTTAATCCCTGCACCTTTTCCCTCATTTTCCCCCTTCCCCTCACCACTGATAACCTTCCAAATGATCTCCATATCTATGATTCTGTTCCAGTTCCGCTTAGTTTTTTAGATTCAGTTGTTGATGGTTGTGCATTTGTTGCCATTTTAATGTTCATGGTTTTTCTCTTTTTCTTATATAATTCTCTTTAACATTTCATATAATAAAGGCTTGGTGATGATGAACTCCTTTAGCTTTACCTTGTCAGGGAAGCACTTTATCTGCCCTTCCATTCTACATAATAGCTTTGATGGATAGAGTAATCTTGGTTATAGGCCCTTATTTTCATCACTTTGAATACTTCCTGCCATTCCCTTCTTGCCTGCAAAGTTTCTTTTGAGAAATCAGCTGACAGTCTTATGGGAGCTCCTTTGTGAGTTAAGTGGCTGCGTTTCTCTTGCTGCTTTTAAGATTCTCTCTTTATGTTTAACCTTTGGCATTTTAATTATGATGTGTCTTGGTGCTGCCCTCTTTGGGTCCAACTTGTTTGGGACTCTCTGTGCTTCCTGGACGTATATGTCTCTTTCCCTCGCCAAATTACAGAAGTTTTGTTTTTCCATTATTTTTTCAAATAAGTTTTCAATTTCTTGCTCTTCCTCTTCCCTTCCAGCACCCCTATGATTTGGATGCTGGTACGTTTGGAGATGTCCCAGAGGCTCCTTATTCCATTCTCATTTTTTTTTTAATTCTTTTTTCTTCTTGCTGTTCTGATTAAGTACTTTTTTCTTCCTTATGTTACAAATCATGGATTTGAATCTCGGTTTCATCCCCTCCACTGTTAGTTCCCTCTGGATTTTTATTTCACTTAATGCAACCTTCATTTCTGCCTGGGTCTTTTTTATGCTGTTGTAGTACCCAATGATTTCTTTGAATATCCTGATGACCAGTGTTTTGAACTCTGCATGTGATAGGATGTTTATCTCCAATTCATCTAGTTCTTTTCCTGGAGTTTTGTTCTGTTCTTTCATTTGGGCTATTTGGTTTCCTCAATTTGGCAGCCTCCCTGTGTCTGACTCCATTTCAGTAGCATGGCCTATTATAGAAAAGGCACCCACCTGGATGACTGTGGTTTTTTGTTTTTTTTTTTAATTTATTTATCTTTCGACAGAGGGGAAGGGAGAGAGAAAGAGAGAGAAACATCAATGTGTGGTTGCCTCTCACACACCCCCTTACTGGGGACCCAGCCTGCAGACCAGGCATGTGTCCTGACTGGGAATCAAACCGGCAACCCTTTGGTTCACAGGCCAGCACTCAATCCACTGAGCTACACCAGCCACAGTGAATGTGGCTTCTTTAAATCCTTGGTTGTTGGACCTCCATACAGCTCGATTTTCTGATAAATCTGGGTGATTTCATTCTGTAGTTTAGTTTTAATTTTTGCTGTAGTTGTGCACGGAGGTGAAGCATGTTTACCTATACCTCCATCTTGGCTGAAAGTTTCTTAATCTGTTTTTTTTTAAGATTTTATTTAATTTTTAGAGCGAGGGGACGGGAAGGAGAAAGGCAGAGAAACAAAAATGTGTGAGAAAAACATCAGTCAGTTGCCTCTTGCACACCCCCAACTGGACATCTAGCCTCCAACCCAGGTATGTGCCCTAACTGGGAATTGAACTGGCAACCATTCACTTTGCAGGAGGACACTCAACCTACTCAACCCGCTGAGCCATACTAGTCAGTGCTTCTTTCTTTTTTTTTTTTTCTTTCTTTTTTTTTTTTTTTGGACCATGCAAGTTCCTTGGAAGGAACAAAATGAGAGGAAGATTTCTTTGGTTTGAATTCCCATCAAGGAGAGAGAAAGAGGTATAGTGGAAGACACTGAAAATATTGTAGGAAAACACACTGCTGTTTTTGAGTCTTCCCAATGAATAAAATGTCTAATGTAATCAAATGCTTTCTTGGGCATTAGGAGAGTACATTTTGAAAAATGGAGATGAAATACCATACTCTCAATGATTTCATGTCCCAGCTGAAGCAACTCTGCCTAGATGGTTCAGCTGGTATACATAGGGAAGAAACTGATTGATGTTGGAAACTGATCAATGTTTCTCTCCCTTCCTCTCTCTCTAAAATCAATAAATATATACTCAGGTGAGGGTTAAAAAAAATAAAGCTGAAGGAAATCAAAGCTCTATTAAAACCTAAAATATTGTGAATTTCAAATTATTTTTTTTCAATTGTGGTAAAATATAGGTAAGAAAATTTACCTTAACCATTTTTTTAAAAGATTTTACTTCTTTTATTTTTAGAGAGGGGAAGAGAGGGAGAAAAAGAGGGAGAGAAATATCAATGTGTGGTTGCCTCCCATGAGCCCCCTACCTGGCCCACAACCCAGGTCTGTGTCCTGACCGGGAATCGAACCTGTGACTCTTAGGTATGCAGGCCGGTGCTCAATCCACTAAGCCACACTAGCCAGGGCATTCTTAATCATTTTTAAGTGTTAAGTACATTCACATTATTGTGCAGCTGTCATCACCACCCACACCCAGAACTGTCTGCATTCTGCAAATATAACATCGCCATTAAACAAGTCCTATTTCCCCTCCTTCCAGCCCCCGACAAACCATTCTACTTTCTGTCTCCACAAATTTGACTCCTCTAGTTACTTTTTTTTTTTTAAGAGGGATCATACAGTATTTGTTCTTTCATGACTGGCTTGTTTTAGTTAGCATAATGTCCTCAAAATTCATCTGCATTGTAGCACGTGGAAGAACTGCCTTCCTTTTTTAAGGCTGAATTATATTCCATTCTATGGATATACCACATTTGGTCCATTCATCAATGGACACCTGGGTTGCTTCCACTTTTTAGCTATTAGTGAGTGGTAACTAATCAACATGGGGGTATATAACTATCTTCGTCTGTTCCTCCTTTCAATTCTTTTCAAATTATCTTACTTCAGGAATGTTGTAGTTATTCCATTGTTAAGACCATGTAAGAAACAGTTTAGCTTTTAAAAACAGATTAAGAGCCTTGGCTGGTGTGTCTCAGTGGAGTGAGCTCCAGCCTATGAACTGAAACGTTGCCAGTTCAATTCCCAGTCAGGGCACATTTAAAACAAATAATTAAAATCTTTTAAAACAAAATAACCCTCTAGGAGAATTTAAGACATCTGTGATCCTCCATCATAATTTCATCTTATTTTTGTGCCACTTTTATAATCTCTTAGAAGAGCAACAACTTCATTCTCCTCTTGTCAAATCATCTATAGCATAATCCATGGATCTCTTCCACTACTTCTTTTACTATCCCTTGTGCTTTCCACCCCAACGCCTCCACGCTTGGCTGCAAACAAGCATACATATCTTCCTGATACACACCATTCATCTCTCGTATCTCATATTGTTTTGAACAGACATGCATTTCCATTCCAATAATGAACGTATTCC